AATATTTTATCTGAAATTATTACTATAAACAATTTCACATCAATTTATGCTTTGTAACAAAATCATGAAAAGCTCTGGAATGGCCTGAATATGATTAAACTTTTGTCTTGCTTTGAAACCCATCTCTAGAGCTGTTAGGAGCTCTGGGAACACACATATACTTCCAAGACACTGAGTAATTGGAAAATTTCTGATTGCTTTCCTTTTGTTAAAGGAGGCAGGCTGAAGTCCTGGAGCTGTAGGAATAGAAATGATCAAAGACAGAATTGTCCATAAAGACCATGAAGTTAGTGTGGTTAGGATTTAGACTGTACAAATTAAACCTCATATTTCCTAGAATATTTGTTTTCAAATGTAAATACAACTCCACAGCCACAAGACAGCAGTTTCAGGTAATGGAATCATAGCAGCATTTATAACCATCATGCACATTGTCTCCAGGTATTGGTTTAGCCTGTGCTTTTACCATAGCCATATGTGACTGGACCATGTCCCAGTCAGGGAGTAATTTATAACCTACGATAATCAACTTTAATATCTCTTGCCTATTTGACTGTGTCACAGAGCTTTTCAAATTTAATAATTCCCAAAGGTCAGGAAGTTTAAAATTTCCTCAGTGATTTTTCTCCTAAAACAGACACACAGATGATATTTTTCAAGGTGTGATTTTTACAGCTGTAATTTAGAACTAGGAATGGTATTAACAAGGAATTCTCCACCAAATATGATCCAGGTCAAAGTGTATTCTCCAAAACAGCCTGTTCTCTCTGCAGTTTTCTGAGTGTCTTCCTAGGGATTTGCTTAATCAAATGTTATGGCTCAAAAACTGAGGGAAGTTTACATTACTCCCATGACCAAAAGGACTTTTTAACAATTTGGCCAGAGACAAATGAGGTAGTGCCCAATCCAAGGTATATGATAAGCTATTCAGAATAAATTGCTTTCCAAATCTACCTTCTCTAATTAACAGATTAGTTATCTAGATATGCTACTTCAAATTGTATCATCTTGCTTCATCTAGGTAGATTGTTTATTTTTTTTGTTAAGTTGGAGATCATAGAGTTTGAGGGAAGTAGGCATACCAGATGCCTTGATATGAGTTTCTGTTTCTTATGTTACTAGTTCTTCAGAGAAGTTCATTCTAGACCATGTGGCTGAATATTTTATTATACTGAATTCTCATGACATTTAGAAAAATCAGTATAACCTAGCTTTATCCTTCTTTACCTTAAAATAAAGAGAAGTCAACACTGTCTTCAGAATAAGAAGATGTTAGGATTAAAAGGAAAAAAAAGATAAAAATCAAAGACTCCAAATATAAGTATACTTGGGAATATCACATTAGTGTGCCATTATCATGGAATTGTGTGGAGGAAAGTCAAATAAATATAACTTTAGAAGACTCAGTAAATAAAATCTTTGAAGTGAGAATTAAAGGGGGACAAAAATATACAAATTGAACAAATGAAAAGTTTAAAATGTTCCCTCTGACAGCATTTTCTTCTTACAATCAAATTCCTTGATGACAATGTTTAACTGTAAAATCACATCTGATTTTAAAAATCGGTCTATTCTCCCCATGCTGTTAATTTTATAGCACTCTAGTTCAACACGTCAAAGAGATGAAATACTTAACAAAATACCACCTTATAAGTCACCTAGTATTACTAAAAAAAATCAAATATTCTAAATAGTAAATCATTATCATTACTGTTATCGTTTAATTAAATTGTCAGAATTCTTTTATCACATAAAAATAAGCCACATACTTACAAAAAATTTAAGAAACACTTGAAGCTCATCTGTTAAATTAGACTTGAATTTTAACTATATATTTGTAATTGTAATCATATTAAAGCCATTTATCTTTTGCTGACAATGTGCAGAAACTTTTGATATTGCCTCTCATAAGTATTGTGACATTGAGCAAAAGTTTTTCAAAACGACTACATTTTCAGAAAGTAAGAAATGAGTGAATGTTTTTTTTTACTTGATTGTAGAAATTCACATATATATTATGTCCCTGTGAAAAAGTAATTGAGCTGTCCAAAATGGATGTCATCTTGAATTAGGAGCCCAGGTTCCTATTTTGAATAACTGATCAGGGCAATGAATCAGACTTCAGTTTTCTCACTAGATGATACAAGTTAGTGAGGTTCTTTACGTATATTCAAGTTTCCAGAGTCTACATGGCTTTGATGTTGGTTAATATCTTGCACTTGTGTTTTGGGGGCACCTTGTTTGCATCTTGGTTCTTGGCTAATTCAAATGCAGCTGTCACTGTACATGAAAACATTGCCAGAAAAACACACTGCCCTCTTTTTATTTGGCTTCCAAAGACAAGACCAACAAAACCCACTTTTCAAATCCCAAATGGTACATGAGTGACAAGTGTTAATAATGATCAAGGAGCTAATTACTATATCCTCTTTGGAATCCACACCTCACCAAACACTGTAATTATTTAGATTCCTCACACTCTGCCCTTAGACAGACAGGTACACTGAAATTTTCACTCCTCAAATCTGGAATCTCCTATATCTCAGAACTTCCTGAATATTTTCCTTCATCTTTTATATTGCCCAAATAGTTTCCCTAACAATAGACAGAAAACATAAAGGCCAAATGCTTGGCCACATCTGTATAATTGTTGCATTAAAGCACTTAGTATCAAGTTGCATTTTGTGATTTTTTTTCTATATAAACAGAGTAGGAATAATTCTTTCTTATTTTTACAAAGAAATAGTGGTAAACCCCAGTAAATCAAAGTCTTCTACACTATTTGAGCCCTTGGGAGAAGCCTGAAGTGCATCATGGTATTGAGAGGTTACTGAGTGATTTCAAAATGACATCTTTTTAACATTACCCAATGAATAATGCATGAATCTTAATCCACAAGCCTCAGCCTCGTTAGGCAGCAGGAAGAAGTGAAATGAGCACTAGATGAGCTGCCAAGAGACCTAGATTCTAGTGTTTTCTCCATTAAAGACTCACAGAGTTACTTGGCCCAGTCATTTCAGTCCCTTAAACCTCAGTTTTTCCAATTATAATATGTGAGCTACTTAACTTCTCGAAGCACGAAAAGTACCTCTTGCTCTCACAAGTGCAAGAGTAACACAATTCTAATAAGTTTTAATTATTTTCCTAGGGACATAGTGACTGATTTTTGATAGAACAAACAAGAGGAATGTCATTTATTAAAATTAAATAGACAAGGCAAATTGGACCATCTAAACTCCACTTTCCATTACTGCGTTGGGGGAGGCATTCAGGAAAATGACTTAAATTGTATTTCTGCTTTTAGGAATCTGATTACTATTGTAGAAAAAGTATGATACCAGAAGACAGAAAGCATCTTCTTTTCTCCCATTCATTTTAGTTACCTTGCAGAAAATGAAATAAATCCATTTATTCCTAAGAATCTCTGGTGAAATTCAGTGAGCCTTTTGGAACAAGAAATGTTCTATTGTACATTTTTTGCCTTTACAATACCCAGCACCATACTACATGATATCCAATAGAGTAGCTATACTAGGTGCACTTATCACGGAAATATTACTGAAAACATATGACAGAAAAGATGAATGTATGGGTTTACAAGTACAAAGCAAATTTTCTACAATTAAAATATATCCACTCTTAGATACCGACTTCTTAGAGGGTAATTTTGTATGATTTAAATATTTACCAGTATAGCTAGCATAATATTTGCCTAAGTTAAAGAACCTTGATTCCTCCTATAAGCTTAAAATATCTACTCCATAACTGAAATTTACAGCAGCTACTGGAAAGAAATACTTCTACATAAATGGCCTAAACTCTTTAAAATAGCAATTTCTGCTTATTCGATAAAATTATTACTTTCCTTCCCTGGAAAATTTACCCAGTATAAAAGCAAATCCATGGATATCATGCTTGACAGCAGAGGAGGAGGAACATATTTGAGATTTAATCCTTGGTCATGTTGCTCCTCATCCCTCTACATTCCTGCCCTTATCTCAAATGGAAATCCATCTTTTGCTTTCCTTTAATCTCTGAATACAGCTCCCAGGAGTTACATGCCAGTGATAGCCTCATATTTGGCTTAAAGTTAGAAGGTTTCTTTCTCAATGTTACCTTCTTTAAGTCCAAACAAGGAAAAAAATAACCACATGCAAACCACAGAACAATTTCTCTTACTTTTTTTTCAAAAACAAGTTAAGTCAATTATAGTGATCTGAATTGTAAATTAAACCCAAAATTATTTTCTCCGTTGTTGATGTTTTTAATGTAGTGATCACTTACTGTGATAAATACAGCTTATCTATGAGAAACAGAGCAACTGTGACTGTTGTCTTCATTTCCCCCTCTCTCTTGCTATCATTAAAAACAAGTTATATTTTCTTCCAGACAGCTTTTTTTAAAGCAGAATCTCTACAACCACTACTAATTACAACAGTTCACATTTATAGTGAAAACCTGTAACTCATACAGAGAGGAGAGTGAATTAGTGTTCGTGAATTTCTGGAGATATTATAGCTCTCATTTTAAAAATCATTTTGAAAAGGAGGCAAAGTCAACTACTTTAATAACTCCAAAGATTAAGAAATGTCACCACCAAAACTAGAATTAAATCAAAGAGTAGATAAAAATCAGCCTGTACTTTCATCCACGTAACCTTTACTTAATATAAAATAGGCTTAATACAAACATTTACAGCCCTGTTTTATCCAATATCAGTTGAGCTAAACACATTATTTTTTTTAAATTCCATGTCAAGCATTTTGCCAAGTTCAAAGTTTTATTCCCCCTCCCACCTTAGGCAGACAAGACAACCATATAATTATTTTTGTTTGTGCAAATTCCAAGGAAATGACCTGTGTGGTCCGGGTTCATTATATTCCTAACTACCCTTAGAGCTGAAATGTTAGCAAGCACCTGACGCCAACAGTTCAATTCTAGATATAAAGGGTGAAAGGCACACATGAGAGCTAATTATGCATTAAAAATTTGGATCCTACCGTTTCAGTTTCTTTCTGTTTTCTCCAGAAGTCTCCAAAGAATTCATGCGACAGCCACTCCAACAAGGACGCTACTGATCTGTGCATCGATCTGGCTCCTTGTTCTGAAAACAACCAATCCCATCCTTGTTCTCTACCAAAAAAAAATGAAAAGAATAAGGGAATAAAAGGAGAGAGAGAAAGAGAGAGAGAGAGGATGGGGAGAAAGAGGAGAGAAAAAGCTAAAAGACTTTAAAAAATAAGAACCTAAAAGAAAAATAATGAAGGCTAAAGGAAAAACAAAGAAGCTAAATTCTCAGGATTACCAAACCACTACCATGTTGAAAAATATGGTAGTGAGTTGTCACAGTGAAATATGCCAGCTATTCTGAACACACTGAACATTTCCGTTTTCCAGTCTCTCTCTCTCTCTCTCTCTCTCTCTCTCTCTCTCTCTCTCTCACATTTTTGTGTTTTTGTCTCTCTCTCTCTCTCTCTCTCTCTCTCTCTCTCTCTCTCTCTCTCTCTCTCTCTCTTGTTTAATGATGCAAGGCTACACAACAAGCTGTGCACAGTGCCTGCAAAGCTTCAGATTTAGGAGAAAAAAAACCCTCCTTTCTATTTATAGGGCCATACTGCATTGTCTTCCAATTTTGTGGTTGCACTCAGCTTTGAGGCTGTGATAACACAGAGACTGTTTATGGAGCCCTTTGCGGAAGCTAGTTGCCCTCTGGCCCCTTCCATAGATACCAGACCACTACACTCTTCAGGATGATCCTTTCTCACAGGTCCTCAGTTGTGTTTCAGTACCAAAGGAGACATTTCTATAAAGATAGTGTAGTTTCCATTAAGAAAAGACAGTGATCTCTGCCTGGACCATTCTCGAATACACAAACCTGTGAAACACTGACATTAAAGTGAATAATCCTATCCTTAAGAGGAATTTAGAACTGTAATCCACCTTATACTTCCTCTCCACCCCACTGAATCTTTGCTGTCCTCAGTGTCTGGTGATCAGGAAGTGCACGTAGGCCTCTATTTCCTCCAAGTAGTTAGGGAACTTTGGGTCAAAAGAGGCTGGTTTCCTGTAAAACATGACCATATCCTCAGGCTCTTGAAGATGGTGTTCCAAGGAATCCCTGAGCCTGGGTGTCTCAGAGCTCAGTACCCAACTGTACTAGGCATCTTAGACTCACTATTCCCACATGAAGATGAACAGGAGTAAATCCATAAGACTTGACTTGCAATTCCAGATCAGAGCAAGAGGACTTCTCACATAGGCCATGGGGGAAAAAAATAAGTTAGTGCATGCCCCAACTACAGGCTAGGGCATACTTGGATGATGTGTACAGTGAGTATTTCGTGGGCCATGTGTCTCAGAGTACTCCTTTACTATGCCTGAGACACTAGTCCTCTGGAAGTAAACATTTCTGAATCCTTGATTTTAAAAATATAATGCTCAAAGCAATAGTCTTTCTCAAAGTCTTTGGGGAAATATCTATCAGTGCCAGAAAAAAGTTAGCAGTAGGACTAGGATATAAAGTAAACCTAGAAGTAGCCCAGGATGGGAAAACTGAACTGCCCAAGACTAGTTCCAGTGCCAGCGGTCTCAAGTGCAGAAAAACAGAGTGATCAACAAGTTAATCAAAACAAGCACTAAAACAGATATGGGTACAACAGACTGAAAAATCTCACCCCTTCTTTGCCTTTTTATTCTGTACTCTGGGACCTGGCAGTCCATAAGGATATGCTTTGTTTATTTAAAGTAGTTTTTCCACTGTTGTTTACTGTAATATGCATATTCCTTCTACAGCCTTATCTCCATTCTGTATCTATTGAATATCTGCTAAATGTAAAATGGTGGATCAAATACAGCTGGGGAGGACAGAATGTGAAACAAGGGACAAGAGATGGATGATGGTAAAGGAATGGGGGTCATCTCTGAGAGGTTTCTACAGTCCAGTTAAAAATATATTTTGCAATTTTCTCAAATATAAGGCAACATGTGTGTGATAAGGTCTTGAAGAATGCCATATCTAGTACTGTAAGATTTTGAAGAGGAAGTCAGGAATCTTGTAGGGCTACTGCAAAGGGTAAGGTTTCAATATAGAAGTCAGGCAACTTTACCAGGAGGAGGAGGGTTTGGGCTGGGCTTATCAAAAACTGCAGGGTATGGTGGTGCATACCTCTAATCCCAGCACTCAGGCAGCTAGAGCAGGAGGATTATCACAAATTCGGTGCAAACCTGGGCCTGTGCTAGAGATAAGACTGTTTCTCAAAGAGAAAAATTCAAGATTTTAAGAATGAAAAAACATTATTTGAATTTCATAAAATTCTTAATTCTTTTTATTTTGCATTATAAACTTTTCATATCCTCATTTTCCTCCTCCATTCTTTAATCCAATGAGCTTTAATGTAGGCTCCTCTGACTTTTTAGGTAGAACATATATTTTGAAATTTTAGACTGTTGCCTCAGATAAAACAAACAGAAGCAAACCCTCATGTTTAAAATAAAACACCCATTGATAACATTTCCTGCACTCAGTATATATCTTTATATTTTAGTCAGAGAATTTTAACCTGATTAGAAGCAAAGGAATGTCCATACAAGATTTTCTCCCCTGCGTTCAGGAATCTCTTAAATTTCATTCTGAAGAGGTCAAATAATGGCATGTAGAAGTTGAGTCATGATTTGGTCTAAGGTTTCATTTTAAAATTGAAATAGGTGAGAAAGAAAGAAGATAGTTCAAGTCTCAGGGTGAACTACTGATAAAGGTAAGACCAGGCCATATATATATATATATAATATTACAGTCTCTTCACCAAAGTAAATTCTATTCTCATGGCATCTACCAAATGTGTAGTTTAGCTGGAGTTACTTTATCTGTGGCCATTTTTTGTCTTAGTTACAGAGGAAAGTTCAAATATCAAACAGATTCAAAAGTTGACCTATATGTCTCTGCCTTTATATATAAAAGGGAGGCACATAGTGACTCATTTAGTCCTACTTAAAAAGAAAAAGAAAGGTCAGTCCCACTCAAATTCAGAAAAAGACACAGACCACTCTTTTATCCTTTGTATATAGTGTGATTCTGAAACATAAAATATGTTAAGGTGGAAACAAAGAAAATTTTGAGCTTTTATTTCAGTTTGAAGTGATACTATTCTTTTTGATGACCAGTTCATTGTCACTTTGTGATCATCTGCATGATTCTAAAACTATTGCTTCAAATTAGCTTCACTGTCGTAATGTTAATAAAGTTTTATGTGCTATAGTACCAACTGTGACTAATGTACTTTTCTAAACATATTCACACTACCAGGCCTATAATTATAAATCCCAAGAATTCTTCCACTTCACTAATTTTCAGTACTTTAGTTTTTTAAAACTGTGATTGAATTATGCCTAACATCTGTTCAACATTTTGCAATCTGCAAAATGCTTTATGCCTTGCTATACAAGTATAATTAATACATCATTGTCATCAAATGAACATCAGAGTACTGGAATGAATACATTAAATATATTTTAAAATATCAATTATCCATACTGTTTTATATGTGGTGGGGGTTCTTACCAGGTAATTAAATATTATATTCATTCTTGGTTTAAGTAAAATACTATTTTGTCTGTGGACAGTAAGATTTAGTTAATAGCCTAAGTTCCAGGCACTGAACTGATTTATAATACTCTTATTTCTACATTCAAATAGTCCATCTTATACAGTATTCTGTCCCTGTGTATGGTTTTAATATTTTTATTGATCCAAAAATTTCATGCAATGTATTTTAACCATATTTAGACCCCCTTCCTTTTACAACCTGCACCTTTCCACAGCCCTGATTTCATGTCTTCTATTAATATTTGTATTTTCTTTTTTTAAAGGCCTACTGAGTCTAATCTGCATTTCCCAAATGCTCTTCAGTGTGGGTCCATCCCTTGGAGTCTGGCTAATCTACCAGATGTCACACCAGTAAAGAAAACTGACTATCCCTCTCCCAGTGTCTATCAATTGCCAATAGATATTAAGCTAGGGCTGGGGCTTCTTGCCTGTCTCCCCTTTCCATGCTGGTTATTTTTCTGGATTGAGTTTGCACAGACATCTTTATCACACCTTCTCCTCCCAAGGCTCATTACGGAACAGGCGTTGGAAAGATTGTAAGAACCAGAGATGGTTGATGAATACAAAGAAACTGTTGTCTGACCACCACAGATAGTTGCACATATGAACTCACAGTACTTATGATAATATGTATAACACCTGTGCAAAACCCCATGTAATAGTTTTTGACGAGGTTCAGAAATATTAAGCAATTTTTCCTAAGCTACACAGCTTTGATAATGAAGAAATATTGAATATTAATTTGGAGTTTTGATCTTAAGGAGATTTTGTGCCAGAGACTGTCACTGCACATCTCAAGGTTATAAGGGAGCCCATTAATAAAGTGTTAACTGTGCAGTTGAATTCTATTAATTATTATAAATAAAAACCTTAAAATACAGATTTGAGAGATTCACAGACCGATAATGTTATGGTGGGTTTTGGGGATGGGATTCCACTTTCATGAACTCCTACCTGGTCCTAAAGAGATTTCAAAGTAACTCTTATAACACAGTTTCAAATAATTAAAGAACAGACTGCCTCATTAACTCCTTCCTTTCTTGAAATACATTTCAGTTCTGATGCCTGTATGTTTTAGGTTTCCTTGGCAGGGTGTCTCTGAATTGATAATTGAAGATGGTAGAAAAACAGATCTTAACTCATAGCAGTTTTCAGAATCCAGAAATTGAAGTGGGATGTGTGGAGAATTGTTTCTATCCCAAACAAATGGGCGAGTGGCCAAATGCACAATGCCAGTATCCTCAAGACCATTCTCTCACTAGCAAAACTAGTGAAGTATGGTTTAATTTGTTAATTGAATTTTTCATTCATAATCCATGAAATAAAAGACAAGACAAAGATCTAAAGCACATGGTCCAAAACAAGAAGTAATGATGCCATTGTCTATTAAGGAACACTTATTATTGAAATATGTCTAGATGTGATTACATTAAAATAATCACTCATTCCATGCAAATGAACATTAG